GGACATTAAACAGGTACCGCTTCAAGAGAGTGTGAGAGAGAGATTGGAGCGAGTGAATAATCGTGTAATGCAGCGAATTCGCCTTGCTTTGAGATGGGGCTATGTACCGAAAGTCTATCTCTCTGTCCGAACAGTTGTTTAGCCAATAGCATACGAGGCGGTTGTAAAGCGCTCGCGAATTTTCGCTCGAAGCGATTTGTATCATTTGTATTCGCGCAGAAACACGCAGAAGCAGCATAAACGGATAAAACAAACAAAGAAAAACGTTCATCGTTAAAATTCTTGCCGATCTCAATTGAAGACGCTCATCAATTGTAAAAATGAGCAATCTACAGCAGATAACGCTTGAGATGGACTCAGTAGCCAATCCGAAAACACCAGCTAAAAATCAAGTAAGTTTTTATCCGGCTTTTATATTTGCATACCAATAGCAAAAATTGGTATTAACACTAACAAAGCGCGGGAAAGCAGCGTATAAATTGTTTACATTATTTTTTGACTTGGCAACTGAAACATCAATCAAATATACATATGTATGTATATTAGAATAACAAGTAGGAACTATATGCATATAGATGTATATATGTATGTATATAAAGCCTAGCGAGGGTTAGCTGATAATTAAAGTGCACACATTGTTTGGGGAAATATATTGGCTTAGAGAGAAGTGGAGGAAAAAAACCCTGATTAGTCACTCTCTGGACCAAATTATGAATCGCTGAGATTTAAATGGGAAATACATAAGCATATATGGTGCATACAGAAATGAATTTATCAGCATTTATGACGGAAGCTTTGGTAAATAATATAAAATTATTTGCATTTGATTAGCTTTGTAAACAAAGCGTAAAAATCGCGGTCACATTTATTGCACATAGCCATAAAATAATAATAAGTTTTATATACATTAAATATTAAGTATGAGATTTAATTAAGATTATTTGTACTATTTGTATGTATTTTTATTTAAAGGTTAATCACAATGAGGGCTTGGACGATATAGATGGACGTAAAGGGCGCATACCCCGAGCAGGTTTGTAGTTTACATCATTTATTAAGACCTAAAGCTAACTGAAGTATAACTTAATCATTCATTATTTCAATGCTCTCTCACCAATCTGTGCTTTAAAATAAACATTTTCAACTTTGCGCCCGTAACAAATAATTGTGTAAGATGCTTCTATATATCTATCAGCCCATAACTTCGTAATACTGAATGCCAAATCTGTTCAATACAGTTCCTGAAATCGATGATGATGATGATGATGAACGTCCTTCTGCGAATGGCTTTAATTCGGGCGTGGATGATGGCCTGCTAGGTAATGGAGGCGAGAATTTCCGCCCCAATTTACCCCAACCGAATGGAGGCCGCCGTCCTAGCTTTACATTTCCAGGCTATGATGGTCCCGGCTTTGTGACCATCAATGGTGTGGACACACCCATACCGGATGTGAATGCCTATCAGCATAAGAAGACGCTCGCTCAGGGTATGATGGATCTGGCGCTGCTCTCAGCCAATGCGAATCAGCTGCGTTATGTTCTGGAAACGAATCGACAGCATCCGTACTTTTATCCCAGCTTAATTTTTATATCATTAAGCATTATATTTCAGGTATCTACATACATATATGCATATTGCCAAATTTGTATTTCGGTTATTTATTGACGCTTTGTGTTCGTTTCAGATTGCAGTCGGCGTTGGCCTTATATGGAATGGCAGATACAATATTAAGGATGAACGCGAAATATGTCGTGCGAACAAAATTAATAATTATACAGTCATCGGCATATTTATTGTGACCGTTATCAACGTTTTAATATCTGCTTTTGCTGTGGCCGAAGCTACGCCGCCAACTACAACGTAGCCTTATAGTATAGAATTAATTTTGTCCTCTATAAATTGTATGTTTAGACCAATACTCGCAACATTTTCAAAATTCATATTTCTCACTTGTATATATTAGTGCTATTGTGATAATAAAACAAAATGAATCTGAAACGTTAAGTTGCTCTTAAATACTTTGATTCAGCGCCATAGTTATCGAGCTTTCAATCGATACTTTGGTTAAACAAGTGAGGGATCGCAACAAAACCAATTTATTCAGTAAGTTTATGCAATTATTTCTTTTGGTATAACATGATTCGCTGAAAAATACATATTGATTTTCGTCATTTCGTTGTATGATGCTTTAATATAAAAAAAAGAAAGTAAACGCAAGTCAACAAGTCGGTTTGTTTTTGAATACTTTAAGTTACGCGCCAAACAATCGAGCACTCAATCGATAACTGGTTTGAACAATAATGAGATCTCAACTGCAAACAGCCCTGCTTGTTATAGTAAATATTTTTCGTAGCAGCCCTGGCTGTTGACTTTTTGTCAAAATATTTTGTCATTGGTTTTAGCTGAATTTTGAGAAATTACAGCTTAGTTTGAGTAAATAACATGGCGAAAGTATTAAAAGCGGTAAATATTTAATTAGTTCAAGCTGTTGTCATACTTATGGCAACTGTGTTAAATGCCAGTGGTGCACTTGTTATGGTTATGTCATCGATTGCCTGCGCTTATTGTACAATATAAGACTATTGAATATTATAATAATTGAATCCTTGTTTACTACAGTCCACTGGATTAACCGGTTTGGCCGTGGCCACCAACCCGCACCACACACTGTCCGCTCTGTACGGCAAGATTCTGCGTGCTGTGTCCAAAATGCCACAGGATGCTGCCTACCGCAAATACACTGAGCAGATAGTCAAGCAGCGCGCGGATGCTGTGGCAAAGGTGAGCTCAGTTAGTTGACAACTTGATAATGATTATTGTATTCCATTTGGTTTACTGTATAGAACAAGGATATTAGCGCACTGGAGAAGTCTGTGGGCTGCGGCCAGGTGGAGGAGCTGATCGTCCAGGCCGAGAACGAATTGATTCTCGCACGCAAAATGCTCGGCTGGAAGCCGTGGGAGAAACTGGTGCAGACAGCGCCACCCAAGCAATGGGACTGGCCCCCAGCACAAATCCTTGAACCCAAAGTCTAGTGAATTAACACATTTATTTGAATTGTATGCAATAAAAGCTAAGGTCGAAATCTAGCTTCAGATTGCTTTGTATACCCTGTAAAATGCACATGCTCAGAATGGGTAAAGAGGTTCAGGGTATACTACCAGAAGAAGGAGGTTTAATAATTTCCAGAAAGCATAAGTATTATCGTAGCGAATGATGAACTGAATCGATCTAGCCATGCTCGACCCTTGCTCTCCTTAGAGTTCAACTTAGGGCAATTGCTAGTCGAGCCACTACCAATCTCGCCTCTCTTTGAGATAAGCTAATCGATTTGCATGAATCGATCAGACAGCCAGCCAGCATAGTCAGTATATTCCCAACATGCGAGCTCTTCACATCTGTTTGCTGTTGTTACTAATCTTGGGCATTGGATTGGCGGCTGGGGCTCCATCGATTGGCTTTCGTCAGCGCCGTCAAATCGATTTAACGCTATCCGCAGAGCACGACGACAAGGAGGATGAAACGGAGCTGGCACTGGAGGCGATAGCCGGCCTGTGGAGCAGTGCGGACAGCCGCACCAAGATCGAAGGCTCCGCTCGAGTGGTGCATCGCGTCAATAGCCTGCAAACGGGTAACACGAGCTATCAAGCACGCCTCCATCTACATCACGATTATAAAAACAATCCGTATCAAAATTAAACCATAAAACACTAAAGGTTCCGAGCAGGATTGGCGTCTTGGAGTGCGTGTTGTGTTCAGCTGATGGAGGAAGGAGGAAGGATGACAAATGTGCAAAGGCTTTGCTACCAAATGACTAATGGCTAATGGATGATTCCCAATGGCATATCTACAGATTGCGTGCTGGCTCTACACATTTTTCATTCTTGCTTTAATTGATAACACTTTGACCTTTTGCTACGATTGCGTTTGTATTCGAGTTCGTCAACTAAATTGTAATTGCAAAAAGCCTCTTGGGCTTGTTTGCTTTATTGTTTACAAATTTTCTGCTTAAGATTAACAACAACAACAATTGCACACAATAAATACGGATTAATTGAGTAAGTTTAAATGCCTGTAGTGAAGATATTATATTAGGAGCTGAGACTAATTGAAGCGCACGCCCATCGCCTCCTGCTTCTTCAGCTCTTCGACGACAAAGTTGCGGAACTCCTCGTAGGCAACATCGATATCCACATTGTGTATGATCTTGTGGAAATTTCCTGGTGTCAGACCGTATTCAATTTCCACCTGCGCCGCATTGAGCCGCTTGGCCAGCGTCTCCTCCGTTTCGGTGTTGCGTTTACGCAAACGTCGCTCAAGCTCGTCGATAGTCGGTGGATTGTTGAAGATCAAGATGGGATTGAGATCGGTTTTCTTGATCTGTTCCACGCCCTTCTGTTCGATGTCCAATATGCAGACGCGGCCCTGGTTCTGGATCTCACGGACGGCCTCCTTGCTTGTGCCATACATGTTGCCAGTGAATTCTGCCGTTTCGATGAACTCATCATTGGCGATGGCCTGCTCCATAACGTCCCGGTCCACGAAATAGTAGTGGATGCCATGCTCCTCGCCTTCGCGCGGCCGGCGTGTGGTGTGCGACACACTGAAGCCAAACGTATCCGGAAATTCGGCAAATAAACGTTTCAGCAATGTGCTTTTGCCCGAGCCCGAAGGACCGCACAACACGAGCGGACGTGGCCCAGTAGCTGCTTGTGCCATCACTGTGCTGCTGGCACTGCTGAACGCACGATTAACAATGAACAGAAAGCTTATCATAATTGCGGCCGAAAGCTAACTAGTTTGGCTAAATTAACCCGTCGATGGGCAACGTTGCTAAGCGACTTTGTTGGGCTCTCAATTAGTGATGGACGCGTGTGCAAGCATGGCATGGAATGTATGCATTACATTGTGGCGACGTGCGATTGCTGTTTGCGATGAGTATGATTATGACTATCGCAAAGTTTATGTTATCGAGCGCGAAATGAAATACAAGTTTAGCTTGGTTTAAAAACTGTTTATATGCATATCTTATATTTTTTATAGTTAGCATAGAATTTCAAACACATACACATTGAAACTAACGCTGTTACTGTTGCGGTTGTTTTTTGTTTGTTTTTTTTTTCTTTTTCTTTTCGTGTTTTTGCTTATCGTTATCGGCTGTTATTAATTTGAATTCGAATTACAATGCATGTTTTAAACTTAGTTAGCTAAAAATAATTATGGATTTTTTCACTTTTCTTGTTTACGTTTTATAATTTGATCACAATTTGATTTCGCATGTCCAAAAATGAATTTTGGTTTGTGTGTTCCGAATGATTCGCCTAAATGTAACCTTCATCCTGCTTCTGTTTCTATTCCTGTTCCCATTTCCATCCGCTTCGGGTTCCGTTTCCGTTCTCATTCCATATATATATAAAGCCTATTTTGCCGAAAATGTGCCTAATTTCGTTCTTAATGTATGCAAGCTGATGCATGTCCATTGAGATACTACAAAATATGCTAAATTTCAGTCAATATTACGTGCTTTCAATTTTTCCCTTTTTGTTTTTCATTTCTTTTTAGTTGTTCGAAAGGCATATCCATGAAAATGGTTGAAAACTTTGGATAACCTGTATTCTTGGTATGTTAGGTTTTGTATAGTATATATATGTGTGTATATATATATATTTGGATATTTTATGTACAATATTGTATTAACGGCATTTGATGTTTTCGATGCATATGTGAATCGGGGTTTGTAACGAGTTAAGATCAACTAAATAACAGTACTATCGTCTTTGAAGTGGGATCATATAAATTGAGTCTAGTAAATTATTAAATTGTATCATAATGTATGTATATGTATGCATGTATGTATATTTTTATGAAATAGTTTATGTACTGGCAAAAACTAAAATTATTGTGCAATTTATTAGAGCCCTAAAAATTTGTTTACAACTAAAATCTAAAATGCGTATATTAAAAATTTATTACAAAATATTTGCATATACATAAGAATATATACATATAATTATATATATATATATAGAAAACTAAACTTGTACAGCCCCAAAGAACTGAGTTTCAGGGGTGTGGATTGGGCGAGGGGGCATTAGGCCCCTTCAAAAATGGGGCTATCTGCTTATAGACTATCAATCAATGAATTATTCATATGTTATGTATAAATCCAATTACTATAAGAGCTTAAAAGTGTTCATTCATTACTGTGATTTTTTTTAATTATTATTTTTTTCTTTTTGCGATTTCTATTGCTAGTTGTAATTGTAGTCGTAATTGTTGTATGGAAAATGAGAGCGAAACACGACATGTATTAACAAAAAAAGGAAACTACGAACAATTACGTTGAAGATGTGTTTTTTTTTTTTCTTTTCGTATGTATAATTATGTATAATTAATTATGTTATAATTATAGTAGTATAATCATTGTATTTACGTGTACATTATGCTTGCTTGCGTAAATTATAAAATTACCTAATCAAGAAAAATTATAAAGTTAGTTAGTTGTTGTTGCTGCTGCTACTGTTCATATTAAGCCTCGTTCTCTGTTTAGGCCTTCCAATTGTTCTGGCGACTGCCGCTGGGTCCACTCGGCTGCTGTGGCGGTATCATCTCCAGCAGATACTGACGCTGTAGCTCCGCCGCCCGCTGTATGTCAGCCAAGCTGGTTGCATTGTTCGAGTTCTTCGATGAACTGGAAGCGGAGCTGCTCTTCTTGTTATTGTTGTTGAAAGCTATATGTGGGGAAATAGAAAGAAAACCAAATTAGAAACAATCCTGTTATCTACAATTTTAATGCTGTTTACAGTTAACTCTACAATGCTAGTTGACATTTTGCTGTAAGTCAAATAAGCTCTGACTGCTAGCTTAACAGAATGTAACAGAATAGAATATTCTTATACATTTTGCTGTTAAATAGCTTGGGGCTGTTAGGTTAACTGCAAATGTCACTGTATATGCACTTTTGCTAACATTATCCTGTTAGCTTAACATTATTTCTACAGTTCGCTCACTGCTAACTCACCTGCCACTTGTGCCGCTTGCGCCATGGCCATTTGGTAGGTGTATAGAAGTGGCGCAAATTGCATCATATGCTGCGGATTGCCGCCCAAGCCCTGACCAAGTGCTGTAAGAAAAAATAAATCATATTAATAACATATCAATATACAGTAAACTCTGTCGCTAGACGCACCTCTAAATAGCTGCTGCTGAAAGGCTTGCATGGCCGCTGCTGGCGATGCATTTCCTAGAGCTGCAGCTGGGTTGTTGGCTGCCGTCGAGGCGTTGCCAAAGTTGCCTAAGCCGCCAAGTGCTGCCAGATTGCCCAACTGATTGAGATTACCCAAACTTGCCAGATTGTTGATATTCAGACCGCCCATGCCGCCCAGAGCGCTGAGATGCGCCGCTGCCGCCAGCGTGGCAGCTGAATATTTATCATAGTTCTGCGCCTGTTGCTGCTGCTCGCGTTGTTGTTGCTGCTGCTGCTGTTGCTGCTGCTGCTGTTGTTGTTGCTGTTGCTGCTGATGATGGTGCTGGTGATGTTCGCGTTCGGTACGCGCCGAGGAGCGACCTGTTGAAGATGACGACGCCTCGTGATGATGCGCCGCTGCAGCTGCCGCTGGCCCGGGACTCAGTATGCCCGCCTGCTGGGCTGCAATGGCTGCCGCTGCTGCTGTGGCTGCAGCACGCGAGGAGCGTTGAGTACTTCCCGACTGATTCAGTGGCGGTGGCGGCGTAGGCTGACTTTGTACGCTTGGCGGCGGCGGTGTGGGCCGCGGTGCTGGCGTAGGTGTCTGGCATTTAGTAGGTATAACGGTAACCGAAGGTGGCAAATTTACTAAAGCAGCTGCTGCAGATGCATGCGATGCTTGCAGCTGTTCGCGTTGTTCCCTCAGCGCCTGCTGATGGAGCTGCTGCTGATGCTGCTGCTGTTGCTGCTGCTGCTGCTGCTGTTGTTGTTGCTGCTGATGCTGCTGCTGCTGTTGCTGCTGATGGGCGGAGGCGACGCTGTTGGCATTGTTGCTGGAGGCATGCGCTTCAACGGGCGATGGGCTGCTCTGGCTGCTGGCCAAGCGCTGCTCGATCTCCTGCTCCTGCTGCAGCGCCTTCACAAACGCCTGCTTCAGTCGATTCGTGTGCTCCGCCTTCAGTGCCTTCTTCACATTCGATGTCACGCACTGCTCACAGATGACCTTTGCCTCCTTGTTGGCTGTGGAGCAAAATAAAACAGTTAATCATAATTAGCGTTTTAAAGAATTCGATTCGCTTACTCTGTTTCTCCCATTTCCAAACGGGCGTAAAGTCTATTTTGCATTGGGCGCATCGGAAGGGCGCCGCCACAGCGTTCGCCTTCTTGTTCACGGTCAAATAATCCACAACTGTCTCTAGTCCAAGCAGATAAACAAAGTCCGTATTGCTTGGATTGGGAATGAAGTGCATCTCTGGCGGTGGGGGCTTTGGTGGCGGTATCTAGACAAGGCATATATTATATATGAATTACTGTTGAATACAAATGCTTTTGAAAGCAAGTTCAAGGATATCTTCTATAAATTTTATATTTCTCAATAATAAAGAACTGACATTCAAATAGACTCATATCTCTAACAAGACTGCTACTGACTGAGACAGTTCCTGAAAATACGTATTATATGTATTAGCTGGCCCGGCAAACGTTGTTTTGCCATATTCATTATTTCTAGGGAATATTGTGTACTTAAATACAAATTAGCTAATTTACTATAAGTGTGGGGGGAGGGGCTGCAGTTATAATGTTCGCTTGGCATTGGTAGCAGTGAGCTGACTTTGTGGCTCATACTGAAATGCTAGGCGAAGAGATGAATGTGCTCGCAGTACTTGTTGAGGTTGTCGGTCCTCTACGGTTCCTCTACTTCTGTTGACTACGAATCTGCGCGCTACTCTTCGTTCTAATCGTCTTTGCTGGTTTCGCTCTTCTCGTGCCTCTTGCGATTGGGATGCACGTAACTGCGCCATTCTCACACGGACATCTGCATTGATTTGTTGCCTTTCTTCATCTGATCTTTGAGCTCTGATATCTTGCATGCCTCTAGCTTTGACTGTTCGACGACTCAAATTAGCCCCCTTGCGTTTTCGTGGCATTATATTTTATATTTATATTGAATAATTATTTAACATGAGAGCATGACCGAAAACTGTCACTGTTATCAAGCCTACTGGGAAAATTCTCAATGTCACTGCAAAGATCTTCAGTAGAAATCAAAAATTTATATGTATAAAGATACTCTATAAGGTATTTCAATCCTCCTTCGCAAAATTAATCGATATATATCGACTTGGGCTGAATTTCGCTATACAAATTCGATCTCAAGCCGTAGCTTAATAACATATCTATGTGATCTATATCCAGAAATAATGCCAACCTATCAGTTTCGGTTTAGCATACCAAGTCTAGCTTATTTGCGCAATACTTGAGCCATTTCTCTTATCAAATCAATATTTCAAATTAGTTTCCATCTAGCTTAAGTCAGCACCTTCTATTTCTGACCCAAAATAGTGGTAAGAACTTTATATCTATGGAGTTATCAACAATGAAACTGCTCGAAACTGCTAGCTCTATCCTAGTGAGTTTCGAACCGACAGCTTAGCTAGCTCTACTACTCGTCCTGGTTCCCGTTCTGCTCTATCTGCATTAGGCCACACAGCTCACCTGTAGCAAAGTCTTTTCGAGCTGTTTGCGCAGCGCCATCTTAGCAGCTGCCTGACGCTGAGCCGGTGTCTGAGCTTCCTCGCGCTGTGCATTGCGATCATTCTAAAGAAAACAAGATGATATTAGATAAGTATATTTATATTGGAGTAAATCAATTTCCACGGCTCACCTTCAAATCGTTTAGCTGATTCTGATGCTGCGATTGTAGTGGGGGCGCCGGCGTTATAGATACGGAATTGCTAATGGTCCCAGGTACCTTCGAATTATCCGAAATATTAGGCTGCATGTTTTGGCAATTTTTTTTTTATTTATATAATTTTTTTTTTTATTTTTTAGTAGTAGAAATATAGAACGAAAATTAGACAATTGATGTTGGGCTGATGGCGAAAATGGTTTTACTCTATATATTTGCTCTTTCTTTCTTTCTTTCTGTCTCTTTCTTTGCACTTAAGGAATATAAAAGCTTTCGTTTGAAATAAATTTGGTTTATGCAAAATGGTTAAGAAAAGAAAAGTTAGCTGCCAATGGGCCCATACGGCGCAGCCTACTCGGAATTGTTTTTTATGATTATGATAATGAGCAAATCTTCGTTAAAAGATTTTCTTCCTTCTCTCTTTGAAAGTAAAAGCGAGCAGGCTACGCAACACGTTCCAAGGCAGCTCAAGATGACAGTTAAAGTGTTTTCTCTAGTGTTGCAAGACGAATTATAGAAACAGAGTGAAGGGAGTTAAGTCGATAGATAGTTAGCTTCATCGATTTGGTTCGATAATTCGTATGCTTAGGTGTCTAGTGTTGGTAAGCGTGAGTTTTGTGCAGCAATTTTGACAAGTGTTGTTGTCAACATTCTAAAATACTCCAATCAAAAAGTGTATTTTGTTCTTGTGTGTTTGGTGCATATGGAATACATGTTGATATATATGTATGTATGTATATATATATATTTGATAAATCAGATTTAAAGTTAGGGTGGAAAAACTCGGCGCTTACGGCAACGATGACATTACAATAACTCACATTGCGTGCTTTCAGGCTGGATGGCGGCGCCGACGTTGGCGTTATGGTCACCGACGGCGTAATCGTGAGATTCGGCAGATTTGTGCGCGGCGGCAAGACGTTCGATCGATGCGAACTATTTGTGGCTGGCGTTATGGTTGTGCCCGCTGCCAGTGTCGCTCCGGCTGCTGCTGCCAGCGAGGATCTAGGTGGCGGGAGTATCGAGTGGTTGTTGCCGCTGCCAATCAGGTTGCTGCTGCCGCCGCGCTGCGAGCCGGATGACAGAGCTGCTGCGGCTGCGGCCACCGCAGCGGCCGTCGCTGCTGAGGAGCTTATGTTGCGGCTGTTGCTGGCGCTGTGGAAATGGCAAGCACAAAAAATAGATCAGATAAGTATATTGCTCTATATAATGTAAGTTGTAATCCATAGATTATTCGCAAAAGGAAAAGATTTCTATCTTATCCGATTCTACAATATATTTGACAACCGATAGCTATCGATAACGCAATCAAACATATATTATCGATATTACATGAATATTATTACTGATATCCGTTTAATCCCTTTATATTTAAGGCCCTCGCTAGTTCCATATTTATATATAGGACAATCGATATCTATCCAATCGATATCTATCAACTATATACTATCGATATTACATCAATATTATCACTGATTTCCGTTTAATCCCTAAATACTTAAGGCCCTCGCTAGTTCCATATTTATATATAAGACAATCGATATCTATCGATACCGTTATGAAACATATAATATCGATATTACATCAATGTTGTTACTAATTTCCGTGTAATCCTTATTTACTTAGGGCCCTCGCTAGTTCCATATTTGAATTCACACGCCATCGATATTTATCGATAATTTATTAAATAGTCCAACTACACTAACTCACCTTATGCTAACAGCGGCTGCTCCACCGCCCAAGCTACTCCGCCCCTTGCTGTGGGCCGGCATCGGCAACGCGGACGTGGGCGTCACACTGAGCGACCCCTTCGCTGTCAGGGCACTGGGTATCGCAGCCAGTGGATTGTTGGGCGACACACTGGTGGGCGTCACCACCAGATTCTCCTTCATGACCTGCTGCGACTGCTTCAGCTTCTTTAACAGCATCAGCTTGGTCTCCTCATTGCGCAGATCCTGCCTCAGTTTACGCAAACTTTTCTCCCGCTCCTTCAGCTCTGCATGCGTCAGCTCCTTGATGGGCACATACGGCGGCATCTCCTCATCGTCCGTCTCCGAATCAATGTTGCCATTCTGCTGCCGGCCATTCGTGCGCGCTGGCAGCAGCACAATGTCTGGTGCCTCGGCATATGATTTGGGTTCGGTGCGTGGCCGCAGGACGCGGCGTTGAACTTTATTTTCATCCTGGGCGGCGCTGCTGCTGCTCCCACTGCCCGCTGTGGCGACGTCGCTGCTGCTGTTGTTGTTGTTGCTGCTGCTGTTGTTGCTACTGTTGTTGTTGCTATTATTGTTGTTGCTGCTGCTGCTGCTGCTGTAGTTGGTATCGTTGCCATTGCCTGTGGCAGCTGTTGCTGTGGGTCCCGGAGCTGGCGTTATGGTTAATCCGGTATTATTCGCCGTCAACGCTCGCAGGTCTCGATTGCTGATCGTTGTCGGCGTCGACGTTGGCGTCGTGGCCGGCGTTATTGTCAGCGCCGGATCACGGCCAGAACTCAGGCTCAAGTCGACGACATCGTCGACCTCCATTTTGGCCATTTTCGCGCGTCGCGTCGTCGTGATGACTTATCTTGACCTAACTGTAAAGATAAGAGATAAAAGATTTAAATTTTGATTTTTAATAAATTTGTTTATTTTTGTTTCTCTAGCTTATATCATATGTTCTGTTCTCTTTAGGGAGTCTCTACTGCACTTTAGCCCGCCCATTGCTAAGGGTTGATATCCACCTTTATTTTATATATGTATGTATTGCTCCTTTTTTTTTCTTTTTGTCACTTTACAAGCGGAAATCAGAAAAAGAAGAATTTAACCCCTAACTGTTTTTTTGCTGTATCTCCGCTCGAGATTTTCTTCTTCATTTTTAACGTAAGGAAATAATAAAGATATCCTGATTTTATATCATTTTGGCGACGACCTTGTTAAATCAAGTTAGTGTCTTGAGTCTCGAATGTTTTTTTGGCTTGTGGCAAAACAAATGGAAAGCTACACTAAATCACAGGCCAGTCAGATTTGAACGAAGATACGCAAACACACACACACACACGCACACACCTACATCTATCTCATCTAAATGTGTTTTTACAGCATTCGGTTCGATTTGGGACTGGCGTTTGCTTCTAAAAGCAAGTCACGTTTTTCGTTTTACCAAATTTTCGCATACAAAGCGCAGCGAAAATTTACATGATAACAAAAGAGGTGGAGAGGCAGGGGAGAGAGTAAGTTGGGCTTACAAGTAAAGTGAAAGAGCGAGAGGGCACATGCAAATTGCTAAATGTTTAGTGGCAACGCTGTAGAACTAGCGAACCCACACACACACACACACCAATGCACATACATACATACATATGTATATACATGCACAAGCCAAAGACACGTGAGAGCGTGAGGTGAATAAACTTTACCACAACAATTGCACCTGCCCCCTGTCAAAGCCAATAAACAGCAAATGCATACAAGCAAAAACGATACAAACAATAAACAGTCCAATTAAAATGGAATAAATGCAGCACACACACACACAAATACACATAACAACAATGAAGACAGTGCTTCGCATCGGGTGGCAACGCTTGTTGAGCTGAGCTTAGAGACGACCTCAACAGAATGTGGCGCAAGAAAGAAAAGCGAATCAAACATAATATAATAAACATGATGAGAATGCGAGCAATACAGTACAAGTGTGTATGAATATGTGTGTGTGCGTGCGTGCACGTGTGTGTGTCTGTTTTTGTTTGACCAACAATGTCCCCAACGTGCTATAAATTAACTCGCTTTGAAAGTTAGCAGCCGCACAGCAATACAGACATATACATATACACACACATATACATATATAACACACACACACATCTAAATAGCGCATGCATGTGTAGAGCTTGCTCGCTCACTCGTTCGTTGGTTTCCCCCCGCTTAAGCAGCTGTCGGCTATGTCTCGTTACTTTCCACACTTGTGTCGTCATCAGATTGCCGTTTGAGAGCGAACAGCCGCGACGGCACAGTGGAACAATGTTGTGCGGTCAGTGCGCCAAACATGCAACAGGCATTTTGACACAATTTAATTGTCTTTAATTATATAATAATAATATATGATTCTTTAATACATTCTATAAATTACATATTTTAAATTTATTGAGCAGCCCACACTCTCAACATTTATATAAATTAACATTTAACTACCACTTTGTGAAGAGCTTTATTACACTGTGGCGTGGCTGGTGAGCGTGAGAATAACAGCATTTACATATACATGTATACATGTATACACGTATACTTATATATACAAGTTTGTGCATTTGTGTTCCATGATTGTTCGCATTTTTTGTCATGTTCAAAGAGAAAAAAAAAATTCAAACATTTTAATTATTTGTATATATGTACATACTTTAATATTGTGTGTATTAATATGATACCGGCACTTTTTATATGGCTGACATTGAATGCATAGAAAACGTCGTATATCGATTTGTTGGCTTTGGCTTTTGTTGGCATTCAGTGTTTATAATTGTGTTTAATAGCGCGCTAAATGTGTTTCAATTAGCGCTTAAAGTTAAGCTCTGTGCGTCTGTGTGTATGAGTGTATATGTGTCAATAGGGTACATACATATGTATGTATGGGAGCGTGTGCATTAAAAGTTTTGCTAACTCTTTTTGCAGATGATATATTTATTGCAGTTTATAAATGTTTATTTAACCTTTTAAACTGTTTAATGGTGATTCAATTACCGTTTTTTACTGTTGGTGCTATTAATGTTGCTGTCGCTATGAACGTGCAGCGAACGTGCTTGCTCAACTGAGCTTTCACTGTACATCGCAGACAAGTTCAAGTTTAAATCTAACGGTCGTTGGCACCTGCCCAACGCAAGCGGCTATTAGAAGAAGCAGCGTAGATAACTGACCGCCGATAAGCGCCAGCATTCCAGAGGAACAGCAGAACAGCCTTGACTTCCAGTCGTGGGAAGTCGACTGGAGTGGCGTAGAGTGGGGCGCGTCAAGTACTGTAAGAGTCATCTCTTACGATAACAACAACAGCTAGGCCACAACTAACGAGCAATAACAACAGCGACACACACACACACAAAGCAAAAAAAAAAAAAGCAAAGAAATAAGGTTAAATCAAAAGTACAGTTGTGTACATAGCGCAGCGAGCAGCAACAGCAGCAGCACCAACAACAACACAAACAAAAGCGAAGAGCAACCAACAAGCAAAATGTGTTTGAGTGCGGCTGCGGTGAGCAGCAGCAGCAGCACCAGCAGCAGCCGACGTAGAGAGAGAGCAAGACAGAAGAGAGAGCGCGTCGCACACACACGCGAACCCAAAGCCAAAGCCAAACAGCAAAATGAGAGTGGCGGGCAGACGGCGGCAGTTGGCGACCGAATTGGGAGTAGAGTCGAGTACTGGGGGCAGAGGCCCTGAGGGGGTGGGGTGCACTGAAAACTGTCTGGCCACCCCATGCACACCACTCACTCACACACACACATATATCTATATATATACACCCACGGTACACCTTAACTACGCCCAGACCTATCGATTTGCATACAAGTCAAGTTACCCCTTCCCTTCGCTTCCCTACCAATCCATGGTTAGCTAATCCACCAAAGGCCCTTCGAAAACATACTCAATACCAAATATACTCCAATTGCAATCGCTTTTATTTTTGCGATATGCGCAAAATAATTCAATTCATTTCAATAAAAGGAATTAAATAAAAAATTATCAAAACAAGTCGCAGCAGCTTTGCACACAAACGGACGAATAAATAAACAAATATACATAAGTAGGTACTGCATACATACAAATATCTATAAACATACATATATACAAGTAAATACATACGTACATAGTCGTATAAGAAATGCGCATATCTTATGGCCTGCCATTGTATATACATATATACATAAGCAACGGCTAACGGAAGAGGGAGAGAGAGGAGCAAAGCGGTGGGCTGCTGTTGCCGTTGCCGTTGCTGTCGCGATGAGAGCGCGTGCGAGCGAGCGAGAGCGGCCGACTTGTTGTACATGGCACTGTACATATGTATTAACTCACCATCATCGTCCCCATGGTGGGACTGTGTGTTAGTGGTGCTGGTGGGGTGGGACGGGGTGCAAGCAGGCAGGCAGCCTGCAAAATGCACTGGCGCATAAATCTAAGCTGCGCCTTGTGAAATGCTCAAATTTATTAGTGACGTCAAGTCAACGCTCTCGACTATTAACAGCTGCTTAACAGCACACATTTCAACGCAGTGGCAACTCCACTCGACTAATTTACAATCAAGAATTAAGAGTCATAATTAACAAAGAGATCTACCTGAGCTCATTTACATATGTACACACACTTGTATTTGTATATTAATTCTAAGATACGACATCAAAGTGTTAAGTCATTCTAATCTATTAATACAGTCAATTTTACATGCTTCTATATACATACATACATATGTACATGCATAAATATGTATTACAATATGAGCTAATGTAAATCTCACTACATTCATAATTTTGTACATACACACATACATACATATGTACAACTACGAATAAATATATAATTATGTCTCTCTTGTTTATTTATAGCGCCGATAAGGATAAGCTTCGGGAAATTGCAACACAAAATATAATAATATTTCTATGTGCATGATTGTAAGTAGTATATAAATAAATTTCTAGAAAATGGGTTACGTACGACAACAACAACAAAAACTTAACACAAATTAATTGCGCGCACTACAAACGAAAAATCGTCGCAGCGACGGCGACGGCGGCAGCACTGCCTCTCTGTCTCTGCCGCTGCCGCTGCCGGTAGTCGTTGGCCTCTGTCGGCGTCGCGTCGACTGCGCTGCGATAAATGTGTGTATGTGCGTATATATAAAATACTGATGTGTTGATGTTGCTGTTGTCGTTGTTGTAGTGTGCGGATTTGCTGCTTATCGCTGGACACACATATTTGCACTGTCTTTTATGGCAGCGTTGAGTAATTGGCAAGTGACAAGCGGGGCAAGCAGAGGGAAGGGGCCGGAATGGAATCGGAATTGGGTCTGGGCCTAGCAATTTTACAGCTGTTTTGGTAGATGGTTCTGTTAAGTCTGACCAACTAAATAAATGCATATAGATATACATACATATATTACCTATGCACACACATACATACATATGTGTACATGCATAGGCATAGGCAACAACAAAGCGTAATAGCTTTCAAACTGGTTTTAATTGCTGTGTTTGTTGTTGTTGTTGTTGTTGCTATTTTTATTTTTAATTCGTTTCATGCAGAAAGACGCCGACTGGAATAAAGGCGATGCTCTGCTGATAAAACCGTTTTATGCACAAGCCGCAAAAATTAGCAACAAACAGTTATGCTTGAAGTTGCCAGACTGTTTGCACATTTACATATACATAAGCACACATACATAGATACATTAGTATAATTAGTATTATGCAAAAAATACGCCTTAGATCAGTTGCTTTATTTTTATGATGGCCAAATTTCACAATTTTGCAATAACAATTTGCATATTTGTTTGATATATATATATATACACACACACATGCATACATGCATAGCAAAATCGCAGCTCAGCTG